GAAGGCGACTGCGCCTGATTCTCATCGCTCTGTAGTGCGGCCATGTTTGAAACCGGCGTTGGTCAGTACAATAAGTTATAACAGGGCCTAGTTTTGAGGTATTATTTTATCATATTTAATGTAAGTGATACCAAACTTATAAACGTGTTATAAGTGATTTCGTAAAGCTGCCATAGACCATTATCCCAAGAAAGGAAAAGGAAAATATGTGGCAAAAACTTAACACAATAAATCAAAATCATACCTGTTGTCAAGTTCAGGTAAACAAAGCAGGCAGGCGTTGCCTCATTAGAACGACGAGAAAGAAAACATGGTTTTGGCTACATATTTTCGGAAAGTTAACTGATACACTATAAGACAAATGACAATTATATTCACCCTGTGGCTTGCCTAGAACTACAAGCGAGGTTCAGATGGATGTTTTTAATCTCCATCTCTCGTAACTAAAGTTAGCTATGCTAACTAAAACTTCAGTTGTCAGGACTTCGTCTTCACCACTGACTTTGTACAGATGCCGTCATATATCTTTCATGTTATTCACCGCACACTTAATGAACTAACAAGGTATAACAATTGAAAACAATCTCACATTATGCAAACAAAACAAACAAAAAAGCATGTGGTGTGGTAAATTTGGAGTTTGGGTGTAATTGAACTAATTTTAATCACATGGCTAACTAAAGCTATTTGAATTTGGTGGTGAGGTGTAGATCAGTGATGAGTGTCTGTTCCTCATTTTTGTTTCCGTAGTCCACCAAAAACAGTGGAAACTTGTACAACCCACCTGACAGCCAACCAAACAATACAAAACAAATGTAGATGACACTTGACAGTAATGACAGTTTATTTGTAAATTCCAGCACATATCGGTTAATGTGACATTCGACATCTGCTTGGTTAGTGTTTTAAGTAAACAAAAATTGCTGGAATATTTTCAGATGAGTCATAATGGTGGAGATGTCGATATGAAAGAAGACATTTTGACTGCAGAAGAAGAAACTGAAGCTCAGGTCCTTCTTAAACATGGAATTAGCAAGCCAGTTGCCAAAGAACTACTTAACATCTACAAAACAGGTACAGGTTTTAGTTACATTTGTTACTGGGGCGAGCCACGTCATAAGCATGAATGACTTGGTGTGAGTTGGTCGAGTGTCTGTGCTCGGCTTCATTAGGGGATAACGATTAACAGCTGCAGAAGAAGAATACATGGTACTTGTCACTTTCTAGAACAGGACTGTTCAGCTGACAACCCACGGCTCAAATCCCTGCAGGTGGCCTGAAGGCCAATTGTATCCTATTAATTATGGTATTTCTATGGTTTGTGACAGTCCTCATTTTTCAACACTTTGGCCCCTGGATGAACTTAATTGAATAGCCCTCTCCTAGAACATAATCCAACCCATTCGTGCTCTGTCCTTCTATGCAGCAGCCATCTCACTGTCTCCAGGCTCAAAGTATCCAGTAGGCGTATGGTGTGGTGACATTAAGTTGTCACCTGCCGTCATGAAATGTCATGGCATCGTGTGATGATAATCATTGTTTTTCATATTCTGGGTGTCCTACAGCATGTAACAGTTTATTGGTGACATCTTTTCTTGCATTAACTTACAGCTGACAGTAATTTTTCTTGCTTTAGTCATAATGACAGTTGGCATCTGTGACTTGGGCGTTGCCAATGAGCTTCATAATGCTGTGCTGCCAGGTTCGATCCCAGCTGTGTGCCTTGAGCCTTTCGTTGGTTTCGACAGAGATATCCAGAAGCCGACTGTCCAAAAGCAATGGAAAACTACTGGACATAAATGTACCTAGAAAAATCACAGCCAAAAAAATGCTGGGGTTGGTTTTGCAATATCCTGTAAAGGATAAGCAACTAACTTTAACCTTTTGGTCTTTATATGTGTGTGTTTATGTGTATATATATAGGATTTATATTTGTGTGTGTGGCAACATACTATGAATGAATATATGATTTTGTTAGAAATTTTTTCCTTTTCATGCTTTTGAGTGGATTTCAGGGTCCTATTTTGGGGATAAGGAAACAGGCCCAGTTCCTTAACAAACATGCCACACACAAAAAGCTATTAAGAGTTTTCGTCTATATCAGCGTAACTGTTCTAGTTATCCTCTTCAGAGGTTTGTCTCAGCACCAGAATCTGTTCTCCACTATGTCTATATCGTGTCCAGGAATCTATCCAGCTATTAAAAAAACCGTGCTTAGTATTTGGTTATTCTATTATAACATTTTCTAGATAAGTTTGAATAGATTCATTATTGAAAAAGATGATTCATTTGTGGTTCAAATGCTACATTGATAATTAGTTTAATCATGCTTCAGTTTAGCTCCCTGACACAGGAAATTGGATGCCCTGGCCAGTTGCATATTTTTAATTTTCTTGACTCTCACTGACTGTAGACTTCTGAACTTTGGCTTGTTACAGAACTGCAGTTTTTCAGACACATCGATTTTGTTTGTTTTAATTGCTTATGTGCATGCAGATGGTTGGTTACTCACCTCTCAGGCAGATGCATTCTGAATTTGAAGGAAAACACCTTTAATTAGTCAATTTTACAACATGCTTGTTAGGGCAGCAGTGAGTTCCTCTTCATATGCACACCCCCCCCCCCCCCCCCCCACCACCACAAATTCTCCCATGGGACCCTGGAATCCACACGTGAAATATTTTAATGAAAGATGTAGCACATATTACTCCTTTAAATAATAGGTGGTGTGTATCTTACAGGTAAACTGTCTCAGTCAGATCTTGATGAACGTGCCATGGATGCTTTGAAAGAATTTTCCCAGGAGGATGCTATTAAGGTCCTGCATCAGTTTTGTGAGAGCAACTTGGAGCATGTGACCAACAAGAGCGCCTTTCTCTGTGGGCAGATGAAGACCTACAGGCAGAAGCTCAAGGCTGGCAATATGCCACCTCTTGTGAAGGGGCCTGATGAGGCAAAACTGAAGGTATATTTCACTATGTGATAACCTATTCATGGGCAGTGCATTGTCACCTGATGGAGCATATACTCCCACACACGAGTTCTCTCATTTTCTTCAATTTCTGCACGTATTTCAAAGTTCCTTCCCATATTAATCTACCATTATGTATATTTCCTATATGATGTTAGAAATTCTCTATTTCTTATTATAATGATACTATTATTTTATACTATTGTTTTGTCAATGTACGATCCATCCTGAACCAGCATTTTCTCACCTTGATTAATTGGGATTTGTTCAATTCTCTATTTTAGCTCCCTTCTTATGTCTTCCTTCTCCATGCCAGTGGTTTTTATGATAAAGCCCCATGCTTCTATGAATGTTGTGGTAGTCTTCTCCAGTAGCCCATACAGCGTGGTTTCCACTGGAATGGCAACTGGCAGGACTTAGGATCTCTCTTCTGCGTGCAGAGAGCATGTCTGAGACACATGTTCACGATCTTGTGGTGCCTGTCTGTTGTATGTTGAATCTGTGTTTGAGAATTTTAAAAAAAAAAAAGATTATTAACGGTATTTAAAAAAAATATCTTATGCTTCATTGACTACCAAAACATTGATTGTGTAAAACAGGAAGAAATTAACTACAGGAAGAGTTAAAACATTGATGGAACAGATTTACGAATGATTAAGAACATGTCTTGGCGGCAAACAGCAACCATTTAGGAACATTTCAGCGCGTAAAGAGGGTAGTACGACAAGAATGCATTCTATCACTTCATTTATTTTAATTAAACAGTGAATATAAAATGAGATCTATGATATGCCAGGAATTAGGTTTAGTACCTGGGCCACATTTGGCCAGGGGAAGCAGATCTTTGACAGCTGAATTATGTTAATCCTACCAGACCTGAGGCCCTGAACCTAACTGTCCCCTGTACCTGAGCTCCTGGGCATTAACGCCAAAAAAAAACCCAACATGATATAAGAAAATATTTGTTACATGCAAACAAGTGGCTAGAATAAGATGAAACTTGGAGACATTGTAGAAAATAGACTTGTTTTTTATCTAGCGCCATTGTTCCACTGTTGTGTGCCAATCCTCTCGGGAGGATCGTTTCACAAAGTGAGCACCAGATGTTGCTGTTTGAGGGACACGTCCCCTTATCTTACTACCGATCTATTTTTAGATTTATATTTTTCAAGATTCTCCTCATTATTTGAGCTGAATGTGTCACTTCAACTGTGAACATATTCTTCATGAAATTATGACTCCGCAGAGTCTAAATAAAGCAAAGTATTGATCACCTGTTGGACTGTGAAAAACCTAGACCTACTTTACTTTCCAGTCGAAGTGTTTGGTTCTTCAGCCGCTCGTTTTATTTTGAAATTTTAGAATTTTTTCACGTAAAACAAATTTTATCCAAGCACATGCGGGCAGACATCTAAGAAGACTATTCACGAGGTCTGATTAAGATTGGCTAGTTATTTTTAGTCTGTGGCGCATCTTTTTCACACACTACGCAAATAGCTGAAAATTAGGGCTAGCGGTATAGCGTCAGGTTAAGAAATTCCAGAAGAATTGGGCCAGCGGTCTGGTAGAGTTCATGATCTTTCTATGCCTCTGGTCCGTGATGATGCCCTTTTTTAATAAACAAAGTTGAATAGCCCTGCTTTGATGGGACCAATAATCTCCATAAAAATAAGCCAGATGTATGAAATGAATGGATACACAACTCTCGGGTTCTGGAACAAGGCTGAAGTCCAGAGGCAGATGAACACCCAGAACTTTCCACCAGAGTTTACAGTCAGTGAATACGAAGTAGTAGTATTCTGCTAACAGAAGCATTCTTGTTGTTTCAATCTTAATACAAAGCTGTATGGTACACAGGAAGATGTGGACTGTGTGATAGCTTTCACCAAGGCTACTGGCCTCCTGATATGTTTTCCTGACAGAAGAAATGATTTTTTTGTTTGTTTTGTTAAGAATTTATAAATTGTTGCTAATACAGGTAGTGTCAAGTAAACTAGTTATAATTAAACATTTAGTTTCTTGTATTCAGGAAATTCTGGACCGCACTGGCTACTCTCTGGATGTCACAACAGGACAGAGAAAGTATGGCGGTCCTCCCCCTGGAGGTGACCCAACACCACCTGGCACAGGCCATGAGGTAATGTTTTTTGGTGTTTTGTTTGTTTTGAGCAGGGTACTTTTGATCCAGTACTTCGCATGTGGACAACAGGACCCCTATCTAGGGAGGGGGGATAACAGAGAGACACCCCACAACCCCCCAGACTAACATGTCTATTTAAGGGTTTGCTGAAACTGGATGAGTTGCGCCAAAAGGTGCAGATATCATACCGTAGCTGTAAACCACAACAATGCAGGCTGACATAGACTAGGGACAGGAACTCCTGGAGGGAAACTTTCCATTTCGCATCATCTTACTTCTGTTATCTGCGTAATGTGATCTTTTCTAATGGGTAAGACAGAGACTCTGTAAAGTGGCTTTTTTGAAAATATGTTTAATCTTGAAGGAAAAAAACATGCTGATTAATTTAATATTTTTATAATGTATAGTCTCCTTGTCTTAGTTCTGGGGCCTCGTTGTAGGGAAAAATAAAATATGAACTCACTGTCCTCATAACTAGCATGCCATATATGTTGATTAATAATAGGTGTTTCCTTCTAAATCGTATGTTCAGTAGCATTATTGTGTGAGCATTTCTGTCCCTAGATATCCAATAACATTGTTGTGTGAACATGCCTTGTCTTTAGATTGTCAGTTCCCCTTGTGGTTTGGCAGCAGCTTGTTATTGGCTGTGTGTCAGTGTAAACAAGGGCACAGAAAAGTTAGGTAGTTGAAGCCTGGGCACATTTTAAAGAGCCCTGACTTTACCGATCTAACTACAGTGTTTGTGTAGTCAGCTATTCTTGAGCTGCTGTGGCCACTTGGTTTTCCTGTACTATATTTATTACAACTGCCACTACAATTAAAGGGCCCCTTTTATTATCATAATGTTCTCTGTGCTGGTTCTAGGCCCTATTCTGGGGGAGACAAGAATAGACCCACTGCCTCCCTAACAAGCATGTTGTTAAAATTGACCAATTAGGGGATTTTCCTTCAAACTGGGAGTGCATCTGCCTTAAGGCAAGGAACCAACAGTCTGCATACAAATAAGCAAGATCTGTAAAATAGCTGTACATGTGAAACTTCTAGTGCGAGATCATCCAGAAATGGATGAACATCCAGAACTTTCTGCCATAGTTTACAGCTGGTAAACACTAAGAAAAGTAAGAAGATATTCAATAACGTTATTGCATTAACATTGTCTTTAGATATTCAATTGCATTGTTGCTTGAACATCTCATCTTTCTCTGTTCAGTAATTTAAATGTGCTGAAATTCTGTTTTCCTCATTAGGTTGTTGCGTATCCTTTACAGGACGTTGCAGAACCAACCCCAACAGCCCCTGGCTGTTGTGTGGCTTCTCTAGGCAAATTTACGTCCAGTAGTTTTTCCTCATTAGATGTTAAATAAATAAGATTGCACATTAAATCTCAATCTGATATATTAAAGAAAATATTGTGATGTGAACATCAGTCTCTAAGATATACAATAACATGACATGAACATCTCCTTTCTGTAGATATTCGTTGGGAAAATCCCCAAGGATGTGTTTGAGGATGAGTTGATCCCACTGTTTGAGAAGTGCGGCAAGATCTGGGACCTGAGGCTGATGATGGATCCCATGACTGGGCTCAACCGTGGTTATGGCTTTGTCACTTTCTGTGAGAAGGAAGCAGCAGCAGAAGCTGTCAATAAGGTTTGTTCCAGTATTGTCATTGCTTCACTTATAAAAGGCAACCAGTTAACGGTTATGGTAAAAGTGGATGTATTGAATCAACAGGTGTAAATATCACAGCCTAGCTGTAAACTGCAACTATATGTGCCAAATGCTGAAGAACTCTGCTGACTTGTCACAGAGATATTTCTGTTGTGTTCAGATGTTTATGTTGCCCATACCTATGTACTCGACCCATTTGTTTTTGGAGTCCATAAAAGTAAGCACTGAATAGTCACATTTTACTGTGCAGTATATAGAGTAAACAGACATGTATTGATTAACACTCATAGAAGTAGAAAAATAGACACATTAAAAAATATAAGGATCAGAAGCTATAGTTCCATGCCAGGAATTGTACATGTCACCCCCAAAAGATAGCAGGGTCTCACTGCAGAAACAAATGTACTAAGATTCATGACCCAACTAGACACCCATTGGTCATAATGTATTCCTGTTTTCATCTTATGACACTTCTTCTTCTTCATCTTCTTCGCATTCACCAGCTGTAAACTGGCGGAAAGTTCTGGTTGTTTATCCACTTCCGGGCTGCAGTCCTATCCCAGAAACTTAGTGTTGCGTGTGCATCCGTTTTACAGATCTGGCTCATATGCAGACTGAAGGTTTTACTTTGAAGGAAGCTCCCAAATGCTTTTGCGTAGGCAGTGGGTCTGTTCTTGTTTTCTCTATAACCGTGCCCCGGAACCCACACAGGAAATTATATGACACATAATAATAATTGGGGTTGTATTTAACTAGTTGATACCTTTCAGTGTTATAGTGTGCTATAGCAGGTCTACTTAACAAATGTCCTGCAGACACCTTACAAGTGGCCCACGGATCACCTGCCAGTGGTATTATGATAATGATAGAGGCTGCGGCTTCTGGTGTGTGATGATCCCCATTTTCCAATTTTCTGGCTCCTGAGTAAATTTAGTTGAGTGGTCTTTAGGGTGGCATGGGATTCACAACCTGTGGTGATGGAGAGTGACAAGAACAGTCTTCACAATAAGAATATGGGATTTCAATACCATAATTTTTTCCAAGTGTCCTTTCTGATTTGTCTCCCTCAGTGAGTAAGTCAGTGCAAAAATGTTTATATGACTTCACCTTTTACCTGTATTATTCATGTCCCAAATTGCTATGGGTAACTGAACTGTTTCTGGTTGCAGTTGCACAATTATGAAATTAGACCAGGGAAACAGCTGAAGGTCAACATTTCCATTGCAAATGTAAGACTCTTTGTTGGCAACATTCCCAAGAACAAGTCTAAAGAAGAGATTAAAGAAGAATTTGGAAAAAGAACAGGTAAGAGAAGTCTGTCCAGGTTCATTGCCTTACCCTTAAAATTCCTAGCAGTTTTTGCAGTAACACTTTCTGTTCACATTTGTGTGCACTTTAGAAACAATGTAACAGAGTGACTTTATTGTTGTGTTGTGCCACTTCCAATGTAGCTGCATTATTTGTACCTCTCTACTCTCAGCTGACACATGTACCTTCTACAGGCATTTGTTTTCTGGTCAGTGATCTTGACTAGTGTCATTGTGACATTTTGTTCTTTAATGATTGGTGTTGCCCCAAGATACCCCGTGCAGGTCAGCTGTGTGCATACCGGTTGGCTTCCCTGCAAACCCACAGTTTCCAAAATGCAGAGCTGACATAGACAGTGCAATGAGAACAATATCTCTTAGATCATTTTTTTATAAAGTTCTGATGAGTATGGCTCATCATATAGCAGACATTTGAACTTTGTCATCTGGTAGAATCTGCTGCACAGAATAAAATTGACCCGAGTTGCCATTTATTAGGATCTTTGATTGACAGACATTTTAACCAAAATTTGTCTCTTATTAACGAAACACAACCAGTGGACCACTCATGTACCAAATAATTTTGTTTAGGCATGTGGCAAAAGCCTTTAATGTTATCTTCAGAAGTGTCACAGAACCTGTAGGTGCCCTGAGTTGAGTTGATTCAAGAGCCGACATCACAGCAGTTATGACATTTCCTAAGTGCACCGTACCCATCTTCAGCAGCCAGCGCAGAGTTCCAATACCAATTCTGATTATACGATCGTCTTGCCTTTCTCTGAGCGTCGAGTATCGACCAGATCCCTTATCACCCCTTGCTGCATCACTCACCAGACTGGTGATCCATTTGCACCTCAAGCTTGTTGAGATATGGGATATCCCCTCAAACTCACAATGGTATTACTTTAACCTTGTACTTCTGACCGCACATCACTAGACATCATATCATCTAAGGTACTTTTTTTAAAAACTCACTTTTTCTCGGAGAATCCTTAGTTCTTCAGAAAGTCAATTATTATAAGGTTCTTTTTTTTTTTTAATTTTTTTTTTTTTTAACGTATCCAGAAACCATGAATTGTAAACCCTTTGGCTAGGTACTATGGATATCGCAACCCTTCGGCCTTGATTCCATTATATGTACCGTTAATCTGGGAGAAATGTGGCTTTTCTGCCTACCCCCGGGAGTGAACCCGGACCACAAGGAGTTCGTCCCCCGGCCGCCCCGAAAGTCAGGTTTAACTAACTTCGCTAGAGAGCCGGGCTTAAAGGGTCTTAGGAGGGTTAGAGTTAGTCAGTGTTAAGTTTTACACTGTAATTCGTCTATAATATTAGTATATCCTGGTCAACTTGCGGATTCCGTGAGAAAGATGAGTTCAAAGAAAATGACCCCATTGAATGTTTTGGGTACCAAGAAAAGTTACCATACCAGGTTCTATAACTTAACTTTCCTCTGGTACTAAAAGAGTTAATTAAAATTGAGGTTGTATTTTTTGTCGGAAATTCTCTGGACATTTAAATGCTATGTCTAAGTAGAGCGTAAGCCTTAGTTTTACCAAAGCTAACATTTTAGCAGCATTTTACTGAAAAGTGTAAACCAGGATCTGTTAGTAATACAGTAATCTTCTTTATCGCGGGTTGCATCTTCTGTAATTTGCATACTAATTTGTCATCCTGATATTTTAGTTGTGTAAGTAAATATCAATGTAATTCTACACAGATGGCTTGGTGGATGTCATCGTGTATGGCTCAGCTGATAACCCCAAGCAGAAGAACCGAGGGTTTGCCTTCCTAGAATATGAGACGCACAAACAGGCCTCAAATGCCAAGCGAAAGTTGCAAGCTGGACATCCCAAATTCTGGCAGTGTGATGTCATTGTGGACTGGGCCGACCCTATGGAAGAGCCTGATGATGAAACCATGTCAAAGGTGTGGTAGATGCCATGTTTTTAATGTAATGATATTGTTTCCATTTGCTGCTTCTTATCCTGAGAACAAATCTTGTATGCCTGTTTGTCAGCCTTCCCTCTTCTCTTTCTGCATTGTCTTCCCTCTTCTTTACAATGTGTACTTCATTCATGTCTAGAGTATGCATTGTCTTCCCTCTTATCTACAGTGTGGTGCTCCAGTCATGTCTAGTGTCTCCCCTGTTTTGCAGTGTGGTACTCCAATCCTTTCTGAAGTGTGTAGTGTTGTCCTTCCATTTTTGCAATGTGGTACTTCAGTGCTTTTTAGTGTGTATAGTGTAGTCTTCTCTCTTCTAGTGTGGTGCTCCAGTCCTTTCTAGTGTGTGTAGTGTAGTCTTCTCTCTTCTAGTGTGGTGCTTCAATCCTTTCTAGTGTGTGTAGTGTAGTCTTCTCTCTTCTAGCGTGGTGCTTTAATCCTTTCTAGTGTGTATAGTGTAGTCTTCTCTCTTCTAGTGTGGTGCTCCAATTCTTTCTAGTGTGTGTAGTGTAGTCTTCTCTCTTCTAAAGTGTGGTGCTTCAATCCTTTCTAGTGTGTGTAGTGTAGTCTTCTCTCTTTTACAGTGTGGTGCTCCAATCCTTTCTAGTGTGTGTAGTGTAGTCTTCTCTCTTCTAAAGTGTGGTGCTTCAATCCTTTCTAGTGTGTGTAGTGTAGTCTTCTCTCTTTTACAGTGTGGTGCTCCAATCCTTTCTAGTGTGTGTAGTGTAGTCTTCTCTCTTCTAAAGTGTGGTGCTTCAATCCTTTCTAGTGTGTGTAGTGCAGTCTTCTCTCTTCTAAAGTGTGGTGCTTCAATCCTTTCTAGTGTGTGTAGTGTAGTCTTCTCTCTTCTAGTGTGGTGCTCCAATCCTTTCTAGTGTGTGTAGTGTAGTCTTCTCTCTTCTAAAGTGTGGTGCTTCAATCCTTTCTAGTGTGTGTAGTGTAGTCTTCTCTCTTTTACAGTGTGGGGCTCCAATCCTTTCTAGTGTGTGTAGTGTAGTCTTCTCTCTTCTAAAGTGTGGTGCTTCAATCCTTTCTAGTGTGTGTAGTGTAGTCTTCTCTCTTTTACAGTGTGGTGCTCCAATCCTTTCTAGTGTGTGTAGTGTAGTGTTCTCTCTTCTAAAGTGTGGTGCTTCAATCCTTTCTAGTGTGTGTAGTGCAGTCTTCTCTCTTCTAAAGTGTGGCGCTCCAATCCTTTCTAGTGTGTGTAGTGTAGTCTTTTCTCTTCTAAAGTGTGGTGCTTCAGTCCTGTCTAGAAGGAGCAGTTTTCTTCCTCGTCTCTACAGTGTGGTGCTTCAACCCTGCCTAGAGAGAGAGAGAGAGCAGGGTTTTCTTCCATCGTCTCTACAGTGTGGTGTTTCAACCCTGTCTTTCCCCTTTCTGGCTCTTTTTTATTTTAGTGTGGTGTTTGTTTTCCCTCTACTCTAGGTTATAGTGTTTAAATTTTCTTTTCAGAGAAACATTTGTCTTTTCTCCTCTAGACAAAGGTGTCTTCATCTCTCTCTTTCTCTCTCTCTCTCTCTCTCTCTCTCTCTCTCTCTCTCTCTCTCTCTCTCTCTCTCTCTCTCTCTCTCTCTCTCTCTCTCTCTCTCTCTCTCTCTCACTCATGCACGCACGCACACGCAGATATATATATATATATCTATCCAGTGTCTGACTCTTAACCTCTCACAAGACACAATCTCACACTCCTTCATCTTTCCTCTCCTGTCATCTTACATCTTCTACCAAACCAATTTCCTTACCCAGTGTCTACTGTCCGTCCAAACTGTCCTCATTTTAAGCTCTCTCTCTGTCTCTGTCTCTCTCCCTCCCCCCTCCACCTTTCCATTTTCCCAAAGATCTACACTAAATACTGAATTGCTACTTAGGCTCAAATGTCTAACCATTGCACCCCCCCACTTCATACCAGCAAAGGTGCCGATGTTCCTTGCTCAAAGATCCTACTTTATTGCAAAAAAGGTTCAAACATCCACTAACAATGACCATGTTTGTCAAGAGTGTAAAATTACCATAGAGGGTAGACATGCCTGATGCATGCTTGCTATAAATGCTGCACAAAAGGGCCCTGGGGCACTCAAGAGATCTAACATGCTGAGGAATTGTGATGCCTATTTGTGCAGGGAATCAGTCTCAGGTCTGCAGACTGCTTCTTGGGAATCCATAAATATCACACACCCTGCAATGAGTCGAATGCTGAACATACAGCCTGTGAGGTTAAGTATTTCTGTGCAGGATACGGGCCAGCCATATATCGGCTCTGTATATATGCAAGCTTCTTATTATGGTGGGGAATGCCCCTGCTGTGCCTTCCCTTGAGGGTTGACCAGTTTCATGTGGCTGCCCTGGACATTCCTCTAGGGACAACATCTGTGAATTACACATGAGGGTAACAAATGTGTATGCAACTAACCAGGAAGGCTGTCCAAGTAATAAATGCCAAAAGTTGGATCTGTCAGCTGAAAGGAGCAAATATCGCATCTATGCTGTAAACATTCACAACACATTTACATCGGATGGATGATGCAGAAGATTACAGTTGTAAAAATTAGTCAGATTATTTGTAAATATGTTTATATTACATGTTTAAATAGTAATACATCCAGCCTGAAGTGTGTTTTATATAATTAACAGGTGAAAGTGCTGTATGTGCGCAATCTGACATCGGATGTTACTGAGGATATGCTGAAAGAGAAGTTTGGGGAGTTTGGCAAAGTTGAGAGAGTCAAGAAGATCAAAGATTATGGCTTCATCCACTTTGAAGAACGAGACGATGCTTTGAAAGCCATGAAGGCCCTCAACGGGCAGAAGATTGGAAGCTTGGAGGTGGACATCTCACTTGCAAAGCCTCCTTCGGAGAACAAGAAAAAGGAACAGCGCAAGCGTGACCAGGAGCGCCGCATGATGAGAGCTCATTACTATGGATATGATGACTACTGGGCTCCTCCGCCCGTTCGAGCCATCGCCGGGGTGAGGGCTCCATTAAGACGACAACACTACCCAGGTATGAAACTTATTATTATTGAAATCTTTTTTAATTGCTTGTTTCATTTCATACAAGGTCAGGGATTTTCACTCTTTTACTTCACCGTCCCACACCTCTGACATTTAATCTCTGCCACTCGGTCATCTCCTTTCACACATTTTTCTCTTCCTACTCCTCTCTAATCAGTCGTGTCTTTTATCACTTCTGTTTTCCTAATGTCTGTTTTCTCTCATTTTCCTTCATTAGTATTTATTTCCTCTTATTTTTAGGAGTCAGTACATCTGTCTTATATCATTATGTCACTTCTCCACCCTTAACTTTTCCCTCCTCTCCTAATCAGTGTGCCTTTTTTCTTTTTTAAATATTAAACAAGCTAGAAACATTAGATTGCAGTAGTTTGGTTTCCAAATAAAATGCAGTGGCTTTAGAATACATAAACCTCCTTTGTTCTCTGATAAGAGGTGCATTTTCCAGTTAACTTTTTCGGGCCCAGTAAAGTATCAGATTTCCTCTATCATAAACAGCTGAGCTAACAGCCATGCTCGCAATAATTCTATCAGACTCCCTGAACATGCTTCGGAAGATAGCAACAGGCAATTGCTCGCACACCTGGATCTAAACACCTGGTCATGGTGGCACAAAGGCTAATGAGCGGTGGACCAATTTGCAAGCAATGCACACAATGCATATGGGAAAAAGCATGGCAGAGCAGATTTCATCACTATGAACTGGGCTAGTGGATAATAACGAATCTCTAACACTAATACGATTATGGACATGGGAGTAAAGCACGTCTATGCCACCTTCAACGCCGAGATAAGGAACATTCTAACCAGCCTCTCATGGAAACAGAAATACCTTGGAGTGGGTGCTGCATTGAGCAGGCATGTGACCCAATATGCATGTATGTCGATTGTGATAACATAACATCTGAATGATGCCAACACAGACAGTTTAAGACACAAGTAGTTTTAAGCTGGATACAGTTTATCTAGCACCTGTCTGAGATAAAAGATGGCAAAAATTTATAGTTTAGCATGCAGTGATTCAGAAATCTATAGTGCATTAATTGTTAGTGAAAGAGTTACAAGATCCATGCTATAATAGACTCATGACCTCTGTTGATCACTGAAGAGGAAATTTTTTCATTTCTCCTGCAACAAACAGCAGATACAGTCTGCAGATAGAAATTGTGTGGAAGCGGCAGTGATGTACATAGTTGGTATTTTTCTGACATGTTATGCAAAGTAGACTGTGAGAACTTGATGACAACTGGCAAGATTGGTGAGGGGGAAAAGCAAGAGAAAGGCAGTAAGATAAATAATTGGATGGCTTAGCTTCATGAATAAGGTGGGACAAGAACACTAACCTGATCTGCAATTCTGGTAATTTCGTGATTTGGTGAAAAATGGTATTCCAAGCATAGTGGTTCTGGTCATGATGATGATGTGATTGTGTAGAATTTTGAGAGCACCATAGTTTTAATAAAAAAAATTTTTTGTTAAGACCCTGAAAGGAACTCACTCACAAAGAGAACTGATTACTTTACATCAGAAGAGATAAGTGTACATTACTTGAAGGTCACAATAAGAAAACAATTGGAGTCTATCATGACAGCAGGACAATTTGAATCAGAGAGACATTGGCGAGAGAGCAGATGTTAGTTTATTTTGACATAACCTTACAGAGAAACATCTTCATTAGAGATTGTTTATGTGTATGGCAGGACGCAGTAGGAGACATGATGATCAAACCACAAAGCGTGAACTGTAAGAAGAAGCAGTATTAAATAAACCATAATAATGATGGAGGGATGCTCAGTCAAAGGGTGTGTTTGATTATTTGTAAGACCCCAGTGGGTTCTGGAGCTTCATTATGGGAAGGGGGGGGGGGGAGATAATCCCACTGGCCCCTTCACAAGCATGTTATAATTTGACTAATTAGGGAAATTGTCTTCGAAGTGGGAGTGCATCTACCTGAAACACACGAAAAATTTTTTATACAAATTAACTAGATCTGTAAAATATGTGTGTGCAAAACTTAGATTCTGGAAAAGGACCAAAATCAAAAAGTGGACAAGCAACCGTATTTTTGGGGTCGCCGTTTACAGTTGGTAAACACAAAGAGAAAGATTATTATTTGTAAGTCTAAAATCTTTGCAAAGTGACATTGGGTTTTCATATATTAAATCCTTTTGCTTCCTCAGAGCCCTTCTATGATGATTACTACAGCTATGAGGAGTTTGACTATTATGCCTATCAGCCCCTGCCTCCAGTGAGGGGTGGTCGTGGCCGAGCTGCTGCTTTGCCCCCTGTAAGTATATACATAAGAACCTAACCAAGCAGGGCCCCCTACATGCACATATAGCCACAGTTTGGGTTTCATGATTTAGTGCAGTGTTCTTCAACCAGTCAACCGCGGAAAAATCCATTTGGGACGCCAAAAATGTCAGCTTAATCATGTAGTGGGGTAGGGCAGATAGTTTTTCTCCGCAAGAATATTGCGGTTTGTAGGATTGACCTAGTTTTTTTTCCTTAGGGATATTACGGTTTGTAGGATTGACCTAGTTTTTTTTCCTTAGGGATATTACGGTTTGTTGGATTAACACCTCAGGGATAAGAATCAAAAGATGCCACATGAAAATTGTAATTTTGTAGCATTGTATTTAACAAAGAAATTGCTACCAAGATTTGTTTTGGTTAGCTGACAGGTGGGCCATGAAACAGTTTCACCTGTTTTTTTGGGCCTTGGTGGTGTCAGGGTTGAGGAAAACTGATTTATTGATCAGGATTTTGATCTAGAGAAACATACTGACTGGGTTATCTGTGCATGCTAGCTATGCTACCACTTAGATTTTAGATGTTAGTTTTCAAATGTATACATAAGTATGATAAGTTTGTATTGATAAACTAGCTGTACTTAATGTGTAGGATTAAATCTCTCTTTTTTGTTTCCCTCTGTCATTGCTTATGTTGCTTTTTCTTTCATCAGAGACTTTATTTCTGTATGTTAACTTTTAGCGTTTTTTTCTTTCTCTTGTCTTAGTCCCTGATTCATTGTTTGAGGCAAGTTTAACTTTTGTCATTGTTTGTCTTTTTCTCTATGTCCTATGCGTTTTATTGTGTGTGTGTGTGTGTGTGTTTTTTAATCACATTTCCACACTTTGTCTTATTTCTATTTGCCTGTCTTCCTATTTTTTGTTCCTCTTTGTGCTTATCTTTCTACCACAGACAACCAGGCTGCAGACACACTCACAAACAAACTCCAGCCACCTATATTCAGCTGACTTAAAATGTTTCAGCCTCTCTTCACATTTGACACATGCAACACTCAGTAAATTTACAAACAGCAAAAAGTTCCTTGTATGGGTCTAACATTCACAACAGCTAGCAAACATGTAAGTCATACAGATACTTCCCCGGGTGGGTTCCAGAGCCCCATTTCGGGGAAACAAGAATAGACACACTACCTCCCCAACAAGCATGTTGTAAAGAGTCAACTAATTGGGGCCTTCTTCAAAGCCTGAGTGCATTTACCTGAGAGGCAAGAAACCAAGTGTGCACACAAGTAAACGAGATCTGTAAAACAGGTTTGCATGCAAGACTCAGCTTCTAGAATGAGACTTAAGTCGAGAGGTGGACGAACAACCAGAACCTTCCGCAGGAGTTTACACTGTGCATGTGAAGAAGAAAGCACGGAGATACATGTATCAGGCTAAGAGGAACACAGTATGTTAACCAGAATTGATCTTAAAGCACGTTATAAAATATTAAGTAAATGAAATGACAGAATGCACAAAAACTAGTATTCATACAAGAGTTGTATGAGAGTAGACGAAGAGGCATACCGAGAAAATGTGGAGAGATAATGTATATGCAGACTTACAAACACTCAAAATCACCAACTGGAAAGAGAAGGTCAGGCACAGAGATGCAGGCGATGTCCGCAGCAGTGAATCTCAAGGGCTCAGAATGACGAAGAAGAGAAAGCTTAAAAGAGCATACAGGTAAAGAAGCAGAATGTATAATGTACATAGACATCAAAAGAGTAAACTGGTTTTAGTTGGTATTATTTAGCAAGAGAACTATTCACCTGGTCTGAGCTGTCGTTTGAAGTTTTCGTGCTTTCTTAATATCCTAAACCCAAACGGGAAATCCACACATCACGGGACAGTCTAATATTTCAGGGGGTGGTAGGCTGCATGCAGTCGTGGGACATGGGTGGGTTAGGGCCAGTTCTAGATGTTTTAAGATAGTTAAAAAAATCAGAAAGGCAGGAAACCCAGCCTTACCACCCTCTAAAATGTTGGACTGTCCTGTGTCATCATCTGGGGTAGGATATTACGCTGAAACCAAATTTTTAGCGATGAAGTCCTTGTTCTGGATTTATTGTGGCATTCTTCTTTAGGCTCACTGGCAGTAAATACCAGCGGAAAGTACTGGTACTTTTGTTCCAGAACTGGAGTTTTACATGCATATCCCCGGAGTTTTACATGCATATCCATTTTACAGATCTGAACATGACATCTAGTAATTGTAGTAAATGTTAATTTATAGCTTGATTTGTTTATAAATTAAGTATCAGTGGTAGCTGAGCCCTGCTTGGATTCTATGGAGGCACACTGTTGTTTATATTACAGTTTGCTTTCATCACATGAGGTTTGGGTTGGTGCATCTGGTTTCTTTTTAAGAACAGTGTTGTCGCAAGGTAAATTTAAATAATGTGGACACATGTTCTATTCTCATTTTGTCCCACTTGTTAATAAACGATTATTTCGCTGTTAAAAATTAGTAAAGGTTTGTTGGATGGTTAAAAAAAAAAGGCAAAAATAACTGTTCTTCATAACGTTTGCATATTGGGTCCAAACCTCATTTTGACCATTTCCTTGAGATCATGCTTTCATTTAGGACAAAAAATGTCTCAGAATGTTTTCTTTCTCGTTTCATGGTAGCGGCCTATCAGAGGCCATACTGGGGCCCAGCATACCCGCGCGGCAGGAGGCCAGGCAGCAGCAGGGGCGGCCGCTAGAGGCCGAGGATTTGGACCTGCCAAGGGGGCCTCACGCGGGGGGCGTGGGGCTAGCAGTAGCAACAGCCCGTCGGCAGGGACATCACCAGGCACGGCCAGAGGAGGAAAACGGAAAGCAGGCACAGACTTTCAGAGCGGGAACTTAAAGAGACGGAGCATGGATGGTTGGGGCACTCAACCTATAGCACAGAGGCCCCTGAACAGGTTTGCACCAGACATGTACGGGGGCATGGGCTATGATGGGAGTGATGCAGCTTGGTATGAAGATTCATATGGGCAAAATTGGGGTTGAGACAGTAGTCAGAGAAGTCGAAACACATCAATTCTGTGATACAAAACAGATCTGCCCAAGTGTATTCAATAGCTAACCAAAACATTGGGCTGAAATTACAGCCTGTAAATTCGACCCATGTGAAGCAAGTGGTCAAGGGAAACCTATGGGGGGTCATTGGCACATGTCTTTGGTCCAGTTTCACTCAATAAGTGGCTTCGGAAATATTTGGCTCGACAACAGTAGTTGTAACACATTTGCATATTTCATCTTCTGGCCTATGTCTTGTATATATGTTGTTGATCTTTATAAGTATATTCCCCCCAGCAAAAAGTTTTCTTTTCGGCAAAGTCTGAATTATCTCATAACCTCGGGACTAAGAAGAAGCATCAGGCGTGAATGGATAGGGCACGATTCTGCACCGTGCGGTTTCGGGCACGTGGAGTCCGTTCAGATGGCAGCTTACCGCAAGAAATCAGGACCATTAAATGGATCCTGTCTTGCAAGCCGCAGTGTTGCACACACAGTTAGCCATGGCAGCCAATCAACTGTAACTCTGGCTTAGCGCCGGTCTCACCTGGTTGGTGATTTGAAGCCATGGCTGTCATTAACACCTCTTGGGTCAGGGGCAGCTCAAACCTGCTGCACTTGACCAGCATCAGTGAATCTTTTAAAAAACAGCATGCCGAAAATAAAAAAAAATTGTAATAATACATTTCATATTTTAATGTTTTTGGTGTTTCATATTGAAATTTATGTAAAGTGGTCATGTAGGAAAATGACGCTTGGAAACTTATTTTGAAATTTAAATTGTAACCATTTGTTAAGGTTAGTGGAATTTCAGAAATTATCAAATATTTGAAACTTTGGTGTTTTATCTGATTTCAAGATCTGCCAAGGGTTGAGGTGGCAGAGTTTGCTTAGTGCATTCCACTAACCGAGTTGTCTTATACAGCATCATCATCATGTTGTTATTCACATCTTGTCATTGTCATGTGTTCATGCATTAAATTCATATGTATTCATTGTTCTCTTTGTTGGATTTTTTTGTTTTGTTGTTGTTGAATGAAAGCATTGCAGACACTGACTGGAGCCTTGTTTGGAAGCTTTGGTTGCTAAGGCATGGCTAGACTAGTACTTTGATTTGGACTGGCAGATACAGCCATTCATCAGAACCCAGCCATGTTGGTCTAGACGTTTCTTAATCATCACTTAACTGAAGCACCCTTGAGGGAAATCCACATTTTTCTGGCCAGTTGAAGCTCTGACATGCCTCCCAGAAAATACTTACTGCTGGTGCTGGTTCTTTGCCTCGTAGGTAGATGCACTCAGACTTTGAAATGTTACTAGGTAACGTACAGTCCAACAGTCCTGTAACTATTGTTACCAGGGGTTGTCCAAACATGTCACTCATTTCTTTCCCACTCTTGAATGAATTACTTTCTATGTTCAACATTTCCCTGAGGAATTAGTTTTCAAATGCATTTAACTTTTGTTTTGTTTTTGTCGTATTTCTCCACTTTCACAGGCTTATGTTGAAATAACGTTAGAATTTTAAATGCATATTTTGGTTTTAAAACTACAGTATCCGTCAGTCAGCATGTCCTTTACAAAATGTTTCTCTCTTACGGCACATCATAAAATGTCACTTGCTCTAGCCAGTTCTCCAGCCCCATGTGCTTTCATAGCCATGCATTTTCAGTGTCCTGTAGCCACATTTATTTCCCAGAAACTGCAGCCTCAATCACCGTTCTCTCCAGACCACCGCGGCACATGTCCACAATACCCCAGCTTTCAGGACAGAATGCTGTTTGTGAGCCAGTTCTCCTTGATGTTCAAGCTATGCAGGATGTCATTTTCTTCTTCTTGGTCCACTGAATTCTGATAGTTTGTCTGGCATTTAAGTTCAGACTCCCAGGTCAACCCAGCCTTGAGTGGGTACCGGGTGCAGTCCTGGGAAGTAGAGGCGACTAGTGCCGTCTGGTCTATAAAATATAGGTTTAGCCCTATATGCCCTATACACCTAAAAGCGTGGAAAAGAGACCTTTACTTTTTGCTACTTTTTATTTCAGTTGAGAAGCTCTGATTTTTTTTTTTTTTTTTAAGTGTGTAGCTCACATCTATAAGTTGCCATGGAAAAGATGCATCTCAGAACTTGCAGGTGCTATGCCATAGGTTCTTCATGCTGTTTAGCCTCTGTTTTGCTAGTTTTTTTCCTATTTTTTTTTTGCAGTTGTTCATTATTGAGCCAAAGTTTTCAAAATCTGACATTTTCAATGTCATTTTTCATATGATGTTGGTTGGCTGTATTCATTCTGGAGATTATTTTAGTGGGTTTTTTTCTCTCCAAATTCAGAAATAGATTCTCATCTTCACTCTGCTATTGACAGTCAGAATTTGTGTAAGCCTTGAACACTGTTGGAAAGGGGAACTGTGTCGTCTGCATGAGTTTTGGTATAGGTCTTCTTCCAGTTTGATTGGATTTAAGTGTCACAGACTTTTTCACCAATTATGTTTCTTATAATATTTTCAGCATTTGTATTAAAATGATGGAGATCAAATGCACTTCCTCCTTTCTGCACACAAAACTAATCTAGTGTTTCACCAGCTACTCTGACTGCTGCTTGTTGTTTGTTGATGGTAAAGAGATTGCATTAGATTTACAAATCTGTTGTGAATCTTATGCATCTCAGTATATACCACAGTTTTTGATGTTGAACACACTGAAAAGCCTTGCTGTAATCTATGTAGCATGTATGAAAATCTGTATTGTACTCTGCATTTCTCAAGAATGATTCTCTTGTTGAAAATATGATCCCTTGTACATCTACAGCATCTGAAACCTGCTTGTAATTCAAATTCTAATTTCTCTTCAGTCCTCTTCAAGGTGATTTGCTGTCAAATTTTACTGGTGTGGGTGATCAGGGCTGTACTGGGTACATCATTTATTTCTTGTCCTCTGGCAGCCCATGCTGCAGTGCCTCATTCAAGGACTGGCCTTACTATCCAAGTCTTCTTGAGAACTCCCTATGTTGTACCAGCAATATTTTTTCATGATTGTCGTTTTTTCCCCCTCAGGTAACTCACTAACCGTTAGATATCTTCCATATTTAAATATTTTCCATCGTAAGTTCTGATTTATGTGGTTACTGCGACATGACTGTACCTCTTTCATTGCCTTTTTGTGTGAGTTCTGCTGTGACATCAGTGTGGTTTGCACTAGCACAGTATGCCATCATTGCATACGCAGCCTTTTCTCCTGTTAGTATGTTCTGTTAATAGTATCGGAGTTTACACCCAGTGAACGCAAAGAACGATTGTTACCCAAAAAATGCATTTCGGTCGGTCATATACACAAACTCTGGAAATGAAAAGAGTTGTTAGAGAAAAGAAATGAAATAATTCGACCACATTGTTTCATTCCCAAGCTGGTATTACTTTTTAACACTACCCACCATAAACGAAGTAGAGTATGACTGGGTTTGAACCAGTTCAGATAAAACTATATAACAACATGGATTACTGTTAAATTATGACAGAAGGTCCGCTGTACCAGCTTTATAAGGAATAAGTTTAAAACAAAATTTATCATGTTAATAGCGAAAACTCACGGTGATTTTTGTTTGTTAGTACTGGACACTTACTAAACAAGCGGAACAGCGTATAAATGCATTTGAATATAAATGTTACAGACAGGTTCTAAGAATATCTTGGGTAAAGAAAAGAACAAATGCATCCATACTTCAAGAGCTGAATATTGAAGAGGGTTGGCTAGTAAAGACAATAAAACAAAGAAAATTGAAATATTTTGGTCACTTGAAACGTCATGGAAGTCTAGAGAGAACAATAATGGAGGGGTATATGCCTGGGAAGAGAGGAAGAGGAAGGCCAAGGAGAAGATGGGTGCAGGATGTGGCAGATGATCTCCAGATGGGTGTATCAGACGCAGGACATCTTGCTCAGGATAGGAAGGTTTTCCGGAGGGTTGTTATGGCAGCGAGGGACATGCTACTGAATGAATGAATGAGTACTGCAAGGGTGCAGAGCTCTTCATGAGTCAGTTTCGTTCAAGACGTCTTCATTAGTCTTTTGATCTGTCCAGAGAATTCCCATCATGCGTCTATAAAACCACAGCTTCCAAAATGTTCTCACTTATCTGCTAACTGTCCGTGATTCACTTACGTAAATCATTATAGGATTTATATAGCTTTACAGAATCACCATCGTCTCAGTTGACAAAGATTGCATAAAATATTCTATATTTGTAAAGTGTAGCATTTGCTTGAGCTGTTCTGTATTGAACCTCTTGAATACATCTTGTATCTACTGTTATCACGGTATCCAACAAAGTACTTGAACATGTCAGCTTGCTTGAGGTTTGTCCCCGTTACTTTAATGTTGCATTTTGGAGGTTCAGTTCTTAGTAATTATGAGTCCATTACTGACACCCATAAGCTGCCACGGGAAAGGTGCATGAACTCAATACTTGTGCTGAACGTGTATGCAGCTGCTGTGCCATAGGTGTTTCATGCTGTTTAATATCAGCATTGCTCAAACAAGTCTTCGTACTCAGTTTCTCTGGGTACAGACTCAACACTGGAGAGAATGATGCTCCTGGGTGTGACCCGATTGTCTGACCGGCACAATACGCTCAGAGGAAAGGCCAGACGGACATACGACCAGATTACGACCGGTATCGTTAGTATTGGACCTGCGCTGGCTACTGGGGATGGGGGCGAAGCGCGTATGTGAGTGTCCCGAATGCTGAGATGACTATTCTTGACTCAACACAACATAGACGCAACACGTTCTATGTGGTAAAGGTAAAGTCGGGAGAACCACGGTTATAAACAAGTGCTCTGCCACCAGTGCGGACAACTGATAAGAAACTGCGTCTGTGTTGCCGTCCGCACGAAACTCTTTAGCTACAGTGACGTTCCTCAATTTACTCCAGAGTGTTAATTCTGGTACCAATTTCCTATTGAACACCGGCCGTGGGCTGCAGCTGGATTTGAAGCCAG